ATTAAATGAGTTTGGGGACTTGGTTATACTAGTTAAATAACTAATGCCCTTTCGGTACCTTTTTATCCTGTTCATTTCGGAAAAATATTTGTCAAGCAATTTGGATTAATTTCAGAACCTTTTTCCTAACATATGAGGTGATCGAGCGAGTGCATAATCATTAATGATTAGCAGTTATGATAGATATGCAGTCTAGGGTTCTAACCCTAACTAAGGTGACAACATTCAAAACATAACAGTTCATGTCATTATATTCTAATTAAAAAACATGTGTAATAATATCACAACAGTAGTAAAAATAACATGCAAAATATTATCGTATAACCATGTAGGTTTGTCCGATTCAAACATGATAATTTATGCAATTATATTTAAAAAACAACATATATAATAATAAGAAAATAACAATTAAAACATTCAGATATGTCTCATAATTTAGAAAAATATTAGACAATACTTATATCTGAATTATATCCTAATTTTTAAAAAAATGAAATTTAATATAATATTAAAATCTGGTCGGGTCGGCGAATCTGGGTCGGTTAGAACCAACCCGGGTCAACGGACTCGACCCATCGCGTTGACCCAGGTCGGATCTCCGGATCTGACCCAAGTCAGGGGGTCAACCCGGGTATGGACCGGATTGGACCCGGTCCGATCAGTAAAGACGAAATAGGGCCGGTTCGACTGGGTTGAACCAGCTCTATTTGGCTTGCAGACCGGTTGGATCGGTCCAGGGATGGCTCCCGCGTGTTTGGACACGTGGGAGCCTCAGCCAACGAGATCCGGCGATCTCGCTGGACAAACCAGGCCACCTATGGCCTGGGTCTTCACCTCATAAGCCTCACCTACCTTCTCTGATGACTGAGTCCGTCGTCCGACCGCTCACTCGTCGACCGGCGAGCAAAACAAAACCAGCCTCTTTGAGGCATTTCATTGAACAGATGAGGAGCACAACAAAATCGAGGGATCTCGACCTCCTCCGGCGACTCGGTCGGCTCCGGTGACCGGGGTTCACCTTTAACAGCAAATGGGGACCAAGAACAAAGACGGTTTGGGCCAGGATTCTCGCGAAACGATCAGCGCGACTCCCGGCCAAATCGTGCCAAAAAAACAGGGGTGAACAGAGGGTGTCGCAGCCGGGAAGGCTCACCGGTTGGCGACGCTTCTAGGGGGCTTCCAGCTAGTCTGGGGGCATCGGTGAGGCGATTGGCTTCCTTCTCGCGATCGGTAGACTCTTGGTATGCTCTCTCTCTCTATTTTCTCTGAAACTCTTTCTCTTCTTCTCTTCCTCTCTTTCTCTGTTTTTTCGTTCAAAATACCCGACCCCCTCTCTCTGTCTCTGCCGCCGGCTTATATAGCCAACGTCTAGCCAACTCTCTCTGATCTCATCTCCTCCATTAATGGCCTGCACCAGCCTATGCCTACTCGTGACTTTTGTGGCCGTTTAGGCCGGTGCAGGGGCTGCTCTAGCTCTGGGAAGAAGGAGGAAAGGAGGAGAGAGATGGCCGAGAAATGAGGAAGGAGGGGACTGGCTATCAATGCCAGTCCCCCTTGCCGTGTTTCCCTGTCCATCCTCTGCTTAGACGGGACAAGGATGGCCGCTCCATCGTCCATTGGTTGGACGGTGGAGAACAGAGGAAAACAGGGGAGAGAGAGAGGCCGGCGGCAAGGAGAAGGAAGAAGAAAGAGCTGGGCCGGGCCGGGCCCAGCTCGGGCGGAAGGGAAAGAGAAAGAAAAGAGAGGAGTGGGCTGGGCCCGTGCGAGGGGAAAAAAGAAAAAGAGAGGGTCGGGTCGACCCGGCCCCGACCCGGCCCATTCTGAATTTTTTTAATTTTTTTTCTTAAAAATTTTAAATTTGAAAATTAATCAAGAAAACATGCTCTAATAAGCCCTAATAATGCAAATGTGCCTAATGTCTATATGTAATACACTTGGAATTAAAAACATTTTTTTTGTTTTAGGAATTAAAATTTAATTACTAATTTTTGCATAATTAATTTTGGACAAATTAAAATAGGTGTCAATATTAGGAATCTTATTTCTATGGAAACTATGACAGATGCTGGCATTACATTCACTAGAGACAAATATCCATGCAAGCTAACCCATGGATCTATAGTGATCACTAGAGGTGAACGGTATGGAAAATTGTGGAAGTTATTGAGAAGCACAGTGATCAGCGATGAGAGTTATATCTCAGAGCAGGTGGAAGAAGATCTTTCGATGTTATGGCATCAGAGATTGGGTCATATCAATGAGAAAGGGATGATGACCCTTACCTCAAAGAAGATGATGGATGGAATTCCAAACTCTTCTATGGGTTTTGAATTTTGCGAACATTGTTTATATGGGAAACAGAATCGGGTATCTTTTGATTTCCTAGGAAGGAGACCGAAAGGGATTCTGGATTTAATCCACAGTGACGTCTTTAGTTCTACACCTATAGCATCGTTTGGAAAATCAAGGTATTATGTTTCTTTTACTGATGATTTTTTCAGATATGTGTGGATATATTTTCTGTAAAGGAAAGATGATGTATTTGAAAAATTTCGCAAGTTCAAAACTTTGATGGAAAATCAGTTTGATAGAAAAATCAAAGTTTTGCGGACTGATAACGGAAGAGAGTTCTGTTTAGCAAAATTTGATCAATTTTGTTCGACTAGTGGCATTGCAAGGCAGAAAACAACGCCCTATACACCACAGCAAAATGGGGTGGCAGAGAGGCTTAATTGATCTCTCATGAAAAAGGCAAGGAGTATGATAAGTGATGCATACTTACTAGCTGGGTTTTGAGCGGAAGCAGTGGCTACCGCGTGTTATCTGAAAAACAGATCTCCCACGTCAACATTGAAGGATCAAACATCGTTTGAGGCACTATTTGGGAAGAAGCCAGAAATATCCCATGTTAAAGTATTTAGTTGTGAAGCATATGTACATGTGCCAAAGGAAAAGAGGAACAAGCTTGTGAAGCAAGTCAAAGAAGTGCATCTTCATTGGATATAAGGATGGTGTCAAAGGGCATAAGCTGTGAAATCCTGACACTAAACATATCATCAACAGCAAGAATGTGGTGTTCAGAGAATCTACAACAAATCATATTATTCTACAAGCTCATGAAAAACCACAAATGGTTGAGTTAGATGTTGGTTTGAAGGATGAGACAGAGGCTACATAAGTTGGATCGGAAAATTCAAATTCTAAAGCTGATGAGCCCGGTGAGGCGGATGATACAGTAGATTCTGAAACTGAGTTTAAAGTTGAAGGACCACCTGAACCGGTCTTAAGAAGTTCCACACGGCTGAGAAAACCACTTGAGAGGTATAACCTGTTTGCCAATAATGAAAATTGTGTTCTAACCGATATAGGTGAGAAGCGCGGGAGATACTAAATAGTGGAAGAAAGCCATGAAAGATGAGATCGGGTCACTGAATAAAAACGGAACGTGAAGTTTGGTAAAACTACTTGCATATCGAAAGGCGATTGGTTGCAAGTAGGTGTTCAAGAAGAAGATATCCATAGATGGAGAGATGTAATAATTTACAACTCGTTTGGTTGCGAAGAGATATTCGCAGTTAGAGGGAGTCGATTATGGTGAGATTTTTTCTCCTGTTGATAAATTAAATTCCATAAGACTTGTCTTATCTTAGCTAAATGGACGCACATCGGGTTATCTTCGTAAGGCTAACCAACACATAATTCACGCAAATGAGTAATCACATTCGAAAGTAGCATTCCGAAAGAACGAAGCATTGCTAGGACGGTGCACTCGTTCTTGCAAAGCATCCAAACACACCTTCGCTTCGGGTCACCCACCACTTCACATGTCAGGGTCAAGTATTCCGTGTGTGTCTTGTTTTTCAATCTCATGCTATTGCGACTATCCTGTCTTGCATACTTATCACGTTCTCCCGTCATCTGAGAGTCGAGCGAGAGAGTGATTGAGAGTCGAGCAAGTGTAGGCATCGAGCGAGAGGGATGCGAACAACTCAGGAAAGAGGGTGGTGTCTGAGAGTAGAGCGAGAGAGTGATTGAGAGTCGAGTGAGCGTAGGCGTTGAGCGAGAGGGATGCGAGCAACTTAGGCGAGAGGTGGCGTCTGAGAGTCGAGCAAGAGAGTGACCGAGAGTTGCGCGAGCGTAAGAGGCATGAAGAATGTGATTGATTAGGGTTTTTTTTCGTATTTGTGGATGGAGGGTCCAAGCCGAGGTCGGCGATCATGATAGGAGCGTTTCTAAACGATTGGGGTTTTTTACAGATTTGTAAGGGAAAAAAACGGTCATGTTCGGGTGGTCTGGGTGGGCTAATCCACACATGGAATCGAGAACCGCCCATAATCGACCGGTTTGGTCCGATTTAGACGGTTCTTTTTGCTCACTCCTAGTTGCAATGATTATGTCATGTCATCTTTTTTTGGGAAAGGATAACTCAAATGAGTGACACATCAAGTATCATTACAAAGCTAAGTAACACTACAAAAAAAAGTAGATTTTAGCGACGAATTTTGCCACGAAAAAAATGGAAAAATTTATCGCTAAACGAATTTGCGACGAAAAAAATTTCGTCACCAATTCGGCGTCGCAAAATTTAGCGACGAAAAATATTCGTGGCAAAATTCGTCGCTAATTTTTCGTGGCAAAATTCGTCGCTAATTATTCGTGGCAAAATTCGTCGCTTATTTTTCGTGGCAAAATTCGTCGCTAATTTGCCACAAAAAATTTTTACTTTTGCCACAAACATTGTTCCGGAACGAATTTAGCGACGAAGTCAACGAAGAATGTTGTTTAGGGATGATTTCGAATTTAAATATAATTAACAGCAAAATTATTTTCTAGAATTTATATTTAACATTGATTAAGCACTTAATAACATCAAAATTTAGTGCTTAAATACATAATGATATGATGATGAAATACATAGTGCTCAAAATTTAGTGCTTAAAAATATTATAATGATATGAAAATGGAATTTTAACTAGCAAGGACCGAGAAAATCATCATCATCATTAGCAATGTCATCATCATCATGTCGCTCATCATTGTGCCCATCACCTATTGGATTAGTCGGAGGTACAAGAGGAACCTCATCGTGATCGAGGTTGAGGTGTCGCAAGATCAATTGCATTTGTTGTTTGACCACTCTTATTTCTTCGTCGTTCTCTACAAGTAAATATTTCAGTTAGCTCAATTCTTGGGTCATTTGCCCCTCAAGTCGTGTCCTCCTTGAAACAGTCGCATTGGAGGATAAAGTTACAGCAGCCTGCGTTGTGCATACCCTTGACAAGGATCCCATCCCAAATATTTTTCCTCTTTTCATCCCTCCCGATGCCTCCACCCATGATGCCATAGTGTCAACTGATGGCTCAGACGCAGCAACACTATCACCACCACTACCACTAGCACTACTCATTAAAAGTTCATCATATTTTTCCTGCATTAACAATATAGATAAAAATAAAACAACTTCATATATATAACTATCATAAATATTAAAAGTATTCATGATTTTCATTCTAGTTTCCATAAACTTACATACCTTAATAGCTTTTGCTCGATCGCCAGTCCATGTTTTATCTTTTTTTTGAAATGTGCATTCAAATGTAGCTGTATATGTCGATTCCGTCCCCAATTCATTTGCCTACAAAATATAAACATAAATGAGTAATTGAATTAAATTAACTTACAACATGTTTAACAAACTTACCATTCTTTTTCTATGCTCCCCGATGTTGATAGAGCCCCAAGCATATGTGGCAGACCCTTCACTAGAACTAGAAGCTCGATTCTTCTTATTTTGTTCACTCATTTACTTATTCTTTTCAGTTTCTCAAGTTCTCTTAATTTCGGTCCAATTGTCACCCATAATAAAATCTGGCTTTACTTGACTTATATTTGCTTTATTCATCACATTTCGTATGTGATCATCGGCTTTCTTCTTAAAAATTCTTTTAACTTCATCCTCTTCCATTTCATCCCACCTGAACTTCCACTGCATCAATAGAAAAACAACTGAAAGTTATTATGAGGGTCACATATCCATTACCATGCACCAGACAATTCGGCAATGGATTTTCTGAAGTTCATATCCATTACTACTTGGCGTGGGACTTCGCACTTCTGACAACTAAAAGTACCAATAAGAGGGTATGATTCGATCCCTAACACGGCCACTAGAAACACCTAGAAGAACAAAACTTACCTTGAACTCATTCCACCACAAATCCTTTACTTCTTTTGGAGCGCTGCTATAACTAATATACTGCCCCCTTCAAGAGTTATTGACTATTTTATTAAGTTGCCTCACAACATACGTAACATCTGTGAATCTGCAAACAGGTTAGAAAGAACGATATGAATAATGAAATAATGAAGCATACAGATAATTTGCAACATGGACAATTCAGTTGACATCCATATCTAAAACCGCACAGATTACATATACTTAAAAAAATGAAGTACTTACGAATCTCCATATGGGCATATCATGAATCGGCTATATTCTTCACCTGTGTTTCCCTCATCATTCGAGTGTTGCACTGAAGAAGAAGGTGGAACCGAAGGAGATGGAACTGAAGGACATGGAACTGAAGTAGATTCAGTTCGCATGTGTCCAAGTTGTCCCCTAATATGTTCTTGAGGGTCGGAGGAAGGGCCAATGTATCTATGTTGTCCATCAGCATGTAGTGGTTGAGGGAAACATGAAAGGGCAGGGGAAAAAGAAGGGGAAGGGGCTGCTCTTCTTTGTGAAACTGCACCATGCATGCGACCTTCACGTTTATACTGACAAGTAGTAAGGTTAGACAAATATCATAAAAAATATGAACATGTATTAGGGACACATAATGACGTACATCATGAAGCTTACCATTTTATTTCAGAGAGCAAGAGATAAATTTGAGAAAACGAAGCAAACTTGCTATCGCTAAGCTGTCCGGAAATGTCGACGAGCTTCTTTAGATCTTTTTTGCCCTCATCTAATAGTTGTTACCTCTGTCTACAAAAACATTCAAAAAGCTAGTGAAGTGAAGCACTTTCTAGTGATTACTATCTAAGAAGAAAATAGGAGAATTAATGAACATTAGAAAGCAGTTCTTGTTGACGCAAACAGGCTCTTCGAACAAGGCCGAACCAAGGTTGATGTGATGTTAATGTTGATGTTGTTCTTGTTGATATTCATACTGTATTGCGGGTAAACCGAAAAATTCAAGTTAGTCACCAATGGTATGTACATGACTTAGGTTCCATATGACGCTTATAAGTCCGCTATTTGTCCGGACGAACTCATGAACCCATTATAGAACATGGTGAGCATACCATCATCAGATTTGAAGGATGACAAGCATTCTTTATCTAGTGTAAACATAAAGAACAATCAGCAGTTCCATGTGAACCGGACTAAAAAAAATCGGACTAAAAAAGACCGGACTAAAAAAAATCACACTAAACAGAATGTGTTTGTGCTCAGAAACCTATCTAAACGACTTCGAAACGCAAAAAAAACGACATTCATCACAGCATAGTAGTGAGTATTGATCAGCGGCCCGTTTCCACATAGCCGACCAAATTTCAACCCATTCTAAGTTCGCCAATCTAAGTGCATCAATTAGATACTTGGCTTAAAACCGAACAATCTAATATAAAAACAAACTCAATCTAATATAAAATCCAATCAATCAGACCCAATCCTTTCAACTTGAGATAAGTCGAATCCAATATAAAAACAGAATTCGAAACCGAATAATCACTGCCCTACAGAATCCGAAACCAAACAGAACAGCAGCAGACAGAATCCGAAACCAAACAAAATAGTAGACCCAATCCGAAACCGAACAGAACAGTAGACCCAATCCGAAACCAAAAGCAGCAAACCCAATCCGAAATCGAACAGAACAGCAAACCCAATCCGAAACAGAACAGAACAGCAGACATAATCCGAAACAGAATAGCAGCAGATCCAATCCGAAACCGAACAGAACAGCAAACCCAATCCGAAACCGAATAGAACAGCATACCCAATCCGAAACAAAAAGTGCAAAAAAATCACGTGAACGTACCTCCTCTCAGTCACGTGAACGTACCTCCTCTCGGACGACGATCCTCCTCAGATCCAAAACTGTCAGACGACGGTCCTCGCGCTTGAGGTTCCTCTCATACGACAGTCAGCACGCAAACCCGAAGAAACACTCGTCGAAGGAAGCCATCGAGAATCGATAGAGAGAGAGAGAGAGAGAGAGAGAGAGAGAGAGAAAGCCCTAATTGTACCCCCAAATCAAGATGACGCCGTTTCGTAAATTAGCGACGAATTTTATTTTGTCGCTAATTAGCGACGGAAGTTAATTTCGTTGCTAAATCCATCGCTAATTAGCGACAGATTCAAATTCGTCGCTAATTAGCGACGGATTTTAAAAATACTAGCGAAAGTGCCGCGAAAGTTAAGTTCGTCGCTAATTAGCGATGGATTTTAAAAACAGTAGCGAAAGTTAATTTCGACGCTAAATCCGTCGCTAATAGCAACGGATTCAAATTCGTAGCTAATTAGCGATAGATTTTAAAAATACTAGCGAAAGTGCCGCGAAAGTTAAGTTCGTCACTAAATCTATCGCTAATTAGCGACGGATTCAAATTCATCGCTAATTAGCAACGGAATTAGCGACAGATTTTAAAAATACTAGCGAAAGTACTGCGAAAGTTAAGTTCGTCACTACATCCGTCGCTAATTAGTGACGGATTCAAATTCGTTGCTAATTAGCGACGGATTTTAAAAATAGTAGCGAAAGTTAATTTTGTCGCTAAATTCGTCGCTAATTAGCGACGGATTTTAAAAATAGTCGCAAAAGTTCCGCGAAACTTAATTTCGTCGCTAAATCCGTCGCTAATTAGCGACGGATTCAATTAGCCACGGAATTAGCGACGGATTTTACAAATAGCCGCAAAAGTTAATTTCGTCGCTAAATCTGTCGCTAATTAGCAATGGAATTAGCGACGGATTTTACAAATAGTTGTGAAAGTTAATTTCATCGCTAAATCCGTCGCTAATTAGCGACGGGTTTGAATCGGTCGCTAATTAGCGACAAACTATAAAATAGTTGCGAATTAGCGACGGAATTAACGACAGATTTTAAAAATAGTCGCAAAAGTGCGGCGAATTAAAATTCGTCACTAATTAGCGACGGAATTAGTGACGAACTATAAAATAGTTGCGAATGTGCGGCGAAAGTTTATTTTCGTCGCCAATTAGCGATGGAATTAGCGACAAAAATAAAATAGTCGGGAACATGCCGCGAAAGTTACTTTCGTCGCTATTTCCATTGGAAATTAGCAACGAACTATAAAAATAGTCGCGTTCGTGCCGCGAGAGTTATTTTCGTTGCTATTCCATTGGAAATTAGCAACGGATTTGCGTCCGTTGCTGTTTTCTTCGCAAATTAGCGACGAATTGGCGTTCTTCGCTAATGTTCCTTGGCTAGATCCTTGTTTTTTTGTAGTGTAATTTTGCGACGAAATTAGCGACGATGCAAATTAGCGACGACCTATTATATTAAAAATTAAGCAAATAAAAATTGTCGCCAATGTCATCTCAAATTTTGTGACGAAATTATGTTTGTCGCCAATTAGCGATGAAATTAGCGACAACCTTTCATATTAACAATTCATCAAATAAATAATAATAATAACAATAATAATGATAATAATAATAATAACAATAATAATTATGACAACAACAATAACACATGTCGCAATAATAATAATAATTACACATAATTAATAAAAAGTCTCAAAAATCATAATCTTCATCTTCACCTTCGCCTTCGTCTTCGTCTTCACCTTCATCTTCGTCTTCATCTTCATCTTTACCTTCGTTTTCGTCTTGATCTTCATCTTCATCTTCATCCTCTGTCTCAATATCAAATTCTGCAACACCTTCTAGATTTGATTCGCGAATTTCAGTTGGATCAACATTTATCATTACTCCACATGGATCTCGTAAAGTTGAAATGTTATATTCCTCAGTTTCGACTGCATTACAAACTTCCTCTTGTTGATATGTTGTATCCTTCCGGTGTTCCTCAATTTTTCTTCGTGCTTTGGTTTTACATATAGCCCACCAATCAGTTTTGTCACGTTTCAAATTAAGATATGATGCATAATATACTTAAATTGCTTGTTGTGCCAAGACAAATAATTCATATTTCATATATCTTTTCTTGTGATTTATTTCAACCAAATTAAACTTCGTATGCACCTTCATTCCTTTGACGGGGTCAAACCACATGCACTTAAATAACACAACCCGCATTAATGGTCCATGGTACTTTAGCTCTATAATTTTATCCAACAAGCCATAAAAATCATATTTTGAACTGCCACCATTGCCACCATTGGATGACCAAACACACACATCACTATTCATTGTTGCTTTTCCCATTCCATATTCTTGAGTGTGAAAATTATACCCGTTTATGAAATATGCTGGCTAGCTTCGTACTCTTGACTTTGGACCCCATGACAGATGATATAGCAATCATTACTCTTCAACTTGATCATGATTACTGTGAACCTAAGGTCACACACGCAAAGTCAATAATATATTTTAATAAATTATGTATAAAATATTCATAACTTGGTTTTGGTCCATAGGCAACTTACATATGTTTTGAACCATGCTACAAATTCTTTATCGCACAAACGGTCAAACTCATTTGGTGGTAGTTCATACATTGAAGTTTGAAAAATCCTATTAATGAATACCATTTATATATTAGCAAATGTTTGACACACAATACATATATTTGCAAATGTATACTTACTCGAAGTATGGCTCCACTTCTGGATAGTTCAGTAAAATATATATATGGGCTGCCTACCATTCTTCGCCTGTTAAGTAACGAAACTTACATGCGTCGCTTGGTCGATCAAGATAATTGAAAATAGAGAATGATTTGCAATTGGGATCAATGGGGCCCTCATCATTTCTTCCTGCTCTCCGCCTCTTGCACTGCACGTGCGGCTCAAAATAGTATGATGCAAATGTTGTCACTTCTTCCACAATATATGCATTACAAAGTGAAGCTTCAACACATGCCTTATTCTTCACTTTTTTTATTCAAATGATATAAGAACCTAGTTGCAATAGAAAAAAGTTTATCATAACATAATATATAATAAAGTAATTTGGAATTTATTAAAAAAAATTTACCTCTCAAATGGATACATCCATCGAAATTGGACGAGACCTGCAACTTTGGCCTCATAAGGCAAGTGAACTAAGAGATGCTTCATTGAATCGAAAAACAATGGAGGAAATATCCTTTCTAAGTTGCAAAAAATAATTGGAATATCTCTCTCTAGTTTCTCCATGTGTGATGCTTTTAACACTATTGAGTAAATATCATGAAAGAAATTACTTAACTCTGTAATGGCGCCCCATACAAAGTTTGATAGAAGTTCCTTGAAAGCTATTGGAATTAGTCTTTCCATAAATATGTGAAAATCATGACTCTTCAAACCTGTCAACTTGCATTCATGCAAATCAACACATCTCCCGAGGTTCGAAACATATCCATCAGGAAACCGCACAGATTTCAACCATTGACAAACAACCAGTCTCTGCTCCTTGTCCAATGTATAAACTGCTTTTGGTTTTGGTCCCCTGCCGCTTGCATCCACATCTAGTGTTGGCCGATCACAAATATCTCTCATATATTTTCTTGCATTCAAGTTGTCTTTTGTTTTCCAGTATCATCCATCGCAGTATTTATGACATTGTCGAAAATATTCTTTTCTATGTGCATGACGTCAAGATTATGACGAATAAGATGGGCCTTCCAATATGATAGATCCCAAAATATACCGCGTTTAGTCCACTTATGTGTACTTCCGTACACAATAGTTGTGCCCTGAGGGTTTTCAACAATAGTTGGAAAGTCATGTACTCGCTCCCAAATTTGATCACCGGTCAACCTCAAAGGTGGAGGTGTTCTTTCAATCCTATTCTTCATGAACTTTTTCTTATTTCTTCTAAATGTATGACTTATCGGCAAAAATTGTCTGTGACAGTCAAAATAACTGGCCTTCTTACCATGTTTTAATCTGAATGACTTTGATCTCTCCAAACATATCGGACATCCTAAGATCCCAGCTGTACTCCATCCAGATAACATTCCATAAGCTGGAAAGTCATTTATCGTCCAAAGAAGAGCAGCCTTCATTATAAATGTTTGATCAGCAGAAACATCATACGTAAGGACACCTTCATCCCATAGCCGTTGTAACTCTTCAATCAATGGTTGCATATAAACATCTATCAACTTTTTCAGATTTTGCGGGCCAGTCACGATCAATGTCAAAAACATATAATGTGTCTTCATGCACATACCAGATGGAAGATTGTACGAAGTTAAGATAACTGGCCAACATGAATAACTTTTTCCTGATTTCCCAAATGGGGCAAATCCATTAGCACATAGACCTAACCTGATGTTTCGAGGTTCTATCGCAAACTCAAAGTATGTTCTATCAAAATGTTTCCATGCCTATGCATCTGAAGGATGACATATTAGATCCTCTTCTGTTTCATGATTTGCATGCCAAGTAATGTGTTCAGCAGTAGCTTGAGACGCATAAAGCATTTGCAATCTGGGGATTAAGGGCATATAAAACATTTTACTTGCATGGTCTGCGCTTATGATTACGACCCTACCTCCTATTAATCTTATACCTAGGTTGGCTACAGAATTTGCAAGATTCTGCATTTTCATCATCTCTCCAATATAACATACAACCCCTGCTACATACATCAATCCTTATAACTGGAAGACCTAAGTTATCCACTAGTTTCTTCATATCGTAAAAATCACTTGACATGATGTTCTCACGAGGCATTGTTTCCGCATTACTTCAACAAAAGAGTTGAAGCAATTCTCAAACACATTATGCTCTGCCTTGATATTTAATAGTCTTGCTGTCACTGATAACTTAGTGTGGTTGTCACAACCTGCCTATAAAGGTTCATATGCTGCTTTCAACACTTCCCAGAACTGATTAGATGGAAAAGTTCCATTACACACATTCTCATCAAAACCAATTACTCATATCTCTTCCAATTGTGATGCATGACTATTACCCACTTGTTCAAGTGTAGGAGTAAAACTAGTACTTGCATGATTCGATTCTGAAACAAAATTCTGACCACCTGCACCAATCACGATCTCTGGTATGGGTTCAATTAGTTATAATAGCTACATTCTTCCCTAACTAAAAATTGGTCACTTCTTTGATATCCTTCATCAGATATAAATTGTTCACCATGGCAAGTCCAATTATAGTAGTTCGAAGTAAACCCAAATCTACAAAGATGTTCTCTAACTTTATCACACACATGAAATTTACCATTACTGCACTTTTTACACCGACACACCTTAACTTATTTCCATTCATGAACTCAAATTTACTACTAGCAAAGTCCAAAAATAGTTCCAACCTAGTACGAAACTCATCGGTCAATCCTCGACGTCCAGGTAAGTTCTTATTATACATCCAAGCCCTGTCTCTTTGCATTGTGTCTGTATAAAAATAAAAAAAATCTCATAAAATATTTAAAATATCATATCTACTATTCTACTGTTTGATATTCTTAATTAAAACCATAAAATTCTAAAAATTAAAATTGTGTTTTTGACAAAACAATTACTTTGAAATTGAAAATAATGAAAAAATTATCATGTCAAGAAGACTTACTCAAGTATTTGACTGAAATCTTTGTAGTATAATGTGGTCAATTTTATGAGAATTGCAATATTCACTTGGATTGCGAGACTTTCAAATGGACACGTACCTACAAAAAAGAAAAATTACTTAATAATTTTTTTTTCGAATTTTTTTCCTTTTTCTTTTCCCTATGTCCGGTCGCCGGACCGGCGACCGGCTGAGGCCGGCGAGTTCGACCTCGCCGGCACTGGCAAGGGCGAGGTCGAGCAGCCACGCCATGGTCACTCGACCTCGCTGTCGCCCAGATCTGTGGCGACAGCGAGGTCCAGCAGCCTCGCCGACCTCAGCCTCTCGCCGATCGCCGGACCGACGACCGGGCGGAAGAAGATAGGAAAAAAATAAAAAAAAAGAGAAAAAAATAAAAAAAATTCGAAATTACCGACGAATAGTTTTGCGACGAACTGTCTTTGTTACCAATTAGCCACAAAATTAGTCACGACACTTACCGGCGGAAAAGCTTTACCAAGACTGATTTGCGCGCGCACGGAGAGATTTATCGAGAGAAACGAAAGAGGGAGAGGGGGGGAGAACAGCGAGGAGGGATATGAGAAATCAGCGGCGAGAGAGAAAGAGAAATTGGGGGTAAGGGGTGGGTAGATTACAATTAGCGACGAATATCGTTTGTCGCTAATTAGCGACGAACCTATTATATTAAAAATTCAGCAAATAAAAAATTTAGTGACGAATACGATTTGTCGCTAATTAGCGACGAATTTTGCGACGAAAATGCCATGACAATTATTTTTCGTCGCAAATTCTGTTGTAGGGACGAATTATTTTTCGTTGCACATTCTGACGCAAATTAGCGACGAATTTTTTTTTCCGTTCGTGGCAAATTCCGTCACAAATTAGCAACGAATTTACCTTTCGTCGCAAATTCCGTCGTTAATTTGCGACGAAAAAATATTAGTCGTAAATTCCGTCTCTAATTAGCGACGAATTTTTTGTCCATTGCTAATTAGCGACGAATTTTTTTTCGTCGCAAATTATGTAGCTAATTAGCGACGAATTTGTTTTCCGCGCTAATTAGCGATGAATTTTTTTTTCGTCGCAAATTAGCGACAAATATTTTTTCGTCGCAAATTAGCGACGAGTTTAGTTTTCGTCGCAAATTCCATCGCAAATTAGCGATAAAAAATTTTTCGTCGCTAATTTTCCGTGGCTAAATTCTTTTTTTTTTGTAGTGTAAGATAAATATTATTTCCCATCAAAAAACTTAAAAGTTACGTGTGTGGAGAATGATAACATGTCTATGAAGCACGTGTAAGCACCTTAGAAAACGACGTAAAAGGATTGAAAATGATACCTGAAATTCGACGAATGGGTGGGCCGCGCATGCTTAATAAATAGAGGCGAACTCGACTCTAAGTTCAATTAAAAAACTTAAACTTATGATCACAAGTGACATTAAAAGTATGCACGTGATTCACGCAAACGAGTATCACGAGCAAAAGTAGCATTCAGAACGTACGAAGCATCGCTAGCACGGTGCATTTGTTCTGGTCTGGCTCTTGCAAAGCATCCAAAACAACGTCGCTCGGGGTCGCCCACCGCCTCACATGTCAGGGTCAATAAGAACCATACATGTCTTGCTTTTCAATCTCATGCTATTGCGACTGTCCCTGTCCTGCGCATGTATCACGTTCGTCCCGTCGTCTGACTTTTGCCCATGGATGCGGACTTCCCGTTCCCACGTTCATTCATCGGTGAATTTGCTTCGCATGTTCGGTGTCCACCATGCCATCAAACATTCATAAGGTTGATATGTTTACAGGAGAGTTTATGCTGCGACAACAGACGGTGCGCATTTGGACCCTCGGATCACGGGTGTGACGTATTAGGGGGCGCATCCTAGAGAGAGAGAGAGAGAGGCGATGTTACACTCTTGTGCCAAGGTAAAACGTTGGAAGTGTGTGAACATTCTTGCATGCAAAGATCAATTCACAGATGAATCCTAAGTGTACGAGCAATTTCTCACCTTGTCCAATATAAATGACCCCTCTAGGATCTCCATCTTCACATATCCCACCCTACATCACTCGTACACAAAACACTGGAAACACCAAGCACACTCTCAAACATGGAATCTTCAACTCTTGCCATCCTCCTATCTCTTCTCTTCACAACCCTCCTCTCCTTCACCGCCCGCCTCCTCCTCTTAAGTAACCAGAGCCGCCGGAGACTCCCGCCCGGCCCGCCGCCGCTCCCCATCATCGGCAACCTCCACATGCTTGGCCACCTCCCCCACCGCAGCCTCCGCCGCCTCTCGGCACGGTACGGGCCAATCATGTCCCTCCGCCTGGGCCTCGTCCCGACCGTCGTTGTCTCCTCACCTAAGGCGGCAAAGGCATTCCTCGGCGTCCACGATGCTATCTTTGCAAGCAGGCCCAAAAGCCCTGAAGCGGAGCTGGACTTCTACACCACCAAGGGCCTCGTCTTCACCGAGTATGGCCCGTACTGGAGGAGCGTGCGGAAACTGTGCACCACACGCCTGCTGAATGCAGCCAGGGTCCGGAGCTTCGAGGGCGTGAGGATGGAGGAGGTGGGCTCGCTAGTGGCGTCGCTGAAGGAGTCCGCGGCAGTACATGAGGCGGTGGACTTGAGCGCGCGGGTGGCGCGTGCGATGGAGGACATGGCGTGCAGGATGATACTGGGGAGGAGCACTGACGGCGAGCACGATCTGAAGGGGATCATTCAGGAGGCGGCGAGGGTGGCTGGAACTTTCAACTTGGCTGATTACGTGCCTTTCCTCAGACCGCTTAATCTTCAGGTACGTGCAATGCTATTCTTGTGGTTTTCTTGGCTCCTGCTTTAGTTTAGGAAAGTTCGTCTTTGAATTATTGAAAAGGGCACCGCATGTCGCAGCATTCCAACTATCTCTATCTATATTACTGTGTTAAAGCCATACTAGCACTGATCAGGCATCTCATTGTATCATCAAACCGTTGATTTTCCATGTCTTCTCATAGTACATCCTTCGAATACAATATGAGCGGCTTTCGGTTAATCGCACAGTATCTTATGATAATTGCAAACGATAATTTCGCATGTGGTTCGTACATGTCTGCGCGCGGGTTTGATGAACATAATCGACAAAAAGGAACATCGCCATCGGAATATGGACAATAGCAGTATGCACAGACAAGTTTTGAGTGTACATTAAGAGGGAAATTCAACATGACAGAACTTCTAATCGATGATGGAATAGTCATCTTCCATTACTAATGATCCATCGCCTTCTGGTCTATCTTCCATGGCAAGCTCGAGCAAGGTACTGATGAAGTTTGTTCTTCTTAGGGGTCGACTCGGCAGTTCAAGGCGGTTCGAAGGTCGGTTGACAAGCTCCTAGAGAAGATTATTGACGACCACGTGCAAGACGCCGCTCATTATGACAGCAAACATCAGCAGGATTTCATCGCCATATTGCTTTCGATGATGAACCAACCCATTGACCCTCGTGAAGAAAAATATATCATAGAGCGATCGAATATAAAGGCCATAATACTGGACATGATCTCGGGTTCGTTTGAGACGTCGTCGACCTCCATCGACTGGGCATTTTCCGAACTCATGAGGCATCCGCAGGCAATGGCACGCCTTCAAGGAGAGCTAGAAGCCATTGTTGGCTTGACTAGAATGGTTGAGGAGTCAGATCTACCAAAGCTAAATTACTTGGACATGGTGGTGAAGGAAAGCATGAGACTTCATCCAGTTATACCATTACTAGTTCCCCGAGAATCCATGGAAGATGCGGTCATAAACGAATGCTTCATACCGAAGAAGTCACGAATCATCGTGAACGTATGGGCAATTGGGCGAGATCCTAGTGTGTGGTCGGAAAACGCCGAAGAATTCGTACCCGAAAGATTTGCCGACAATGGCATAGACGTGAAAGGGAATCATTTCGAGCTGCTTCCTTTCGGTTCAGGACGTAGGGGATGCCCCGGAATTCAGTTAGGTCTGATACAAGTGAAGCTTGTTTTGGCTCAATTAGCACATTGCTTCAAGTGGGAATTACCCGACGACATGGTACCGAGCGATATAGACACGAGCGAAAGATTCGGCTTATCAGTTCCAAGAGCTAATCACTTGTTATCAGTGCCGACCTATCGCCTGCTTGTTTAGATCCCTAAAAAATGATGCCTTTTTACTTGTCAGCAATTCTACTTCTACAGGAAAATTGCCTAGCTTCTGTTCTCTTTTCTGTATTTTGCTTTAGTTCCAATAAGCCTATCCACGACTCATAAGTTCCATTATGGTGTATCCTGCACCAATGTGAAACAGGTTAGATATTCTATGAGAAGCAGTACGCCTGAATACAAGGAAATAAGAACTACCCTTTTGCTCGGCCAGTTCCGGTTGTAGGCCGCGAGAAATTCCAGCAAAACAATAGCAAAAATGGAATACGTAAGAAAATTGAGTATATTTCAACATCTTGATGATCATAGGCCATTGTGATAAATTCTTGATTCGATTTTCACTTCTTGCATTTTCATATCAAATTTGGGTCCAGTAGCAATCGTTTTTCCTAGTCCAGTTGCGACTGACTTTCTCCCGAGAACTCTGGCTTCGTTAACTCAGATAAACCGCCATCAGACACCAGCACTCCACTTTGCTGCCGAAAGGCTTCCTCAACAGTTCAGTCTCAACCTCTAAGATCGATGACAGACAAGCCAAGCACAAAAATTACCTTTTCAGGGCACCGGGAATGTAAAACAATTCCCGTACTTGATCTTGTGGTTACAAGATTTGTATCTTCATTTTGGCTCTGGAAGCTTTTCAGAGGTTCATCCTTCCCTGCCACGTGCAACATCCAATTATCAACACTTGATGAATCTCCGCAATCTGCCGAATATCCCTACAGGCTCTGCTACTGCTGATGGCTCAACCGGTTCCCTGAAATTTGCCTTTTCACTTAATTCTTCAAAAGCGTCCACAAGATTTTGTAACCTTGCAACAAACTCAATGAGGAGCGACGTGAACGTTGCTAGAGACAGAGCACTTGCACTTTCATATGTTTTTGATTCTTCAACAACAGGATCAGTCGTCAGCGAGATTCCCGCAGTCCATGATATCTGTTTCGTCATCACACCATCCGCGGGTATAAATACAGGAACTGGGGGTTTCAACCCCGTGTTTGGCTTCGCCGAGTCCAGACTTCTTGGTGCAGAAAATGGCCTAAGATCTAGTACAGCTTCACTAAGTGACTTATACTGTAAAACCCTATTTTCATCATCATCAAAGTTAAGAAGATCTTGAGGCTCTGCTGATTCTTTTGCTCGGTTTCCGATTTCCCAGCTCTCTGAGTTGACTAAAAGATATGACTTCCGGTCAACTTTGTTCTGCAACTCTTCTGCAGCCTCGTGCACTTCGAAGAGAATGTCTACAGGCCCCAATTTTTCCATCTTCTTTACCTTATTCCCAAGTTCGCGTAGTACCTTAGCACCTGCGTTACCTACCCGCTGCAGCTCATTGCGAAAGACCTGTCTTCGCTCAGCTGGAGCCTGCAAAAAGGATTCACATCTAAATAGAAATAGACATGCAGACGATCAAGGCAATGCAAAGTCGCTCTAGCTTTTGACAGACAAAGAACTTGGTAGCATCTACTCCAATATCTTAACGATTGTAACAATAAATTTATTAAACTATCCGAGCCTAGGCATCGATCTCAAATGTCTAGCCACCTTAATCTGCATTATAACTATGATACATCAGCGCATGACAGTAGTCCGACACCTCTGATAGAAAGGCTCAATCCTTGAGCAGTGTCTTACATTCATGAATGTTTATATATCAATAAGAGATAAAACTAAATTACATACGGCCTCTCAAAAAAGAACTGGCTGCGTCTAAAACTTCAGTGCCTCTGTCCAGCATATGTGCATATTAGCACCACGTTTTTTCTCATAGCATGTTAATCAACAAGGGTGCTCAATCACACCCACAGTTTATGCCATTTTGTTGAATCACTAGCAGTCCATGTCAATATCATTCATTCATCAGAAGTTGCAATATGGCACAGAAAATTAGAACCCAAAAGACCAAACATCAGATAGATGATGGGTAATTCGAAGACCTAAACACACACACGTGGTGCACAGATAAGGGTGCGCTCAAACAAGTCTTGCATGCAGATGCCGCCCATCCACACAGGCAAATGAGACAAACAACACACATTTCATAACAACAAAAGGCTGTATGCAGAGTCGTTGATTAGACAAAGAAATTCTATGCATCGACACATCTATACCAGCAGCAGCCACAACTTCAAAAGTAATTTTCAAAGACTTTGGTGGTACTTGATAAATGATGCTTCAATAAGTGAATGGATAAAACACAAGATGCCATTCGAGTAAAATAAAACATTGGAAAATGACACGCTTCCCCCACAATGTGACAACTGACACTAAAAGAATAGGGGCTTTAAACTAAATTCCTGCAGAGATTGTCAGTTGAAGTGCAACATCTCCGTTGAAAAAATATGGAAAGAGAAATGAGTGATTTCTCCTACAGAGCAAGAGGACATAGGTAAACTTCATATCAAATAAAAGGACCATAATATTCTTATATTTTAAGGATATGCAGAAAACAGAGCATCAAAAGAACAATATATGAAACGCTTCAGAAGGTACATTGGGCAGGAATAACCATTGAGATGAACTTAACAACACAAAAAGCCGTACCTGGATTTCAGAAAGTATGCATCCATGCAATGCCATGACCGTGAATGCACAATGCCTCAGTGCACCGCTTACTTTAACATAGTTCTTCCAGGGATACCTAAATGCTCTGTATGGACCATGAGGTGGCTCCCAGATAGCAAAACCTAACTTCTCACATAACAGAATGAAAAATGGGAAGAATAAGAAAACAAGACCAACCAACATTTCGAATAAAGCAGATTAGCAGAAAATTACCAGAGCATCTTCTTTGCTGGTGGATTCTACAGCTGCTCTGTAGCCATTATAGAGTGGATCATCAGAGGCCTGATAAGTAAGAATTTTCGAGGGAACCCTTTCATATTCAATACAATTGAGGTACCCATTAACACAACCTAATGAGAAGCAAAATTAGATTAAGTGAACAGGAGGGATGGGGAGAGAAAGAGAGTAGACAAAATTATTAACCAGAGAAGTCTTTGAAATCTTAAAAAAAAAACAGAATAGTAAACCTATGGCGAACCTTCCAAAGAAGTTGCGACCCCCTTGAAGTTCTTTACCACTAACTTATGCAGGTCCTCGCCAGCCCAGATGGGAAAAATGCAAACATTTACTGCCAGGCCAACACCAGCACCTAGCGCAATGAGGAAGAAGCGTGCAACAGCTGTATGGATGAATTCCCTTGTCCTATATCCGGACACCATTACAAGAGAATATGTCAGCAAGAAAACTCTAATCCCGTATTCGTAAGGCTTCATCGTCGGGTACAGTTTTGCATAAGTTGCAATAGATCCTACCAATAAGAGCAATTTAAACAGATGTTAAAAGTCTAGCTTTAATGATAGAACAAGAACAAAGCAGAACTTCTCAGAAATCTAGCATATTTTACGTTATAAAATAGACGGACTGACCTATAAGGAATATGCTGAGGATAATAACAGGTTCTTCCCATTCTCCAGCCATCTGGGACAATTCTGCCATGCCTAGAGCAAGCCCTCCTGCTGATAATGTCCCTATGCCCCGGTTTAATCCCTTGCTAAGAGTAGCGCCTGACAAAGACAGCATCAAAACAAGGAAATGAGGAAAATCAGCTTTACAATTGAAAAGAAGTTCCAACATAATTCAAAAACACTTAAACAGACCTTTCATTGCGGTACGCGATCAACTGTCTTCCTGTTAGCATTTGTAGACAAAAGAATTGTATCCTCTATATGCAACACATCTAATTAGGATATACAGTGAAGGAGCCGAGAGAGATCTGAAAAGAAGTAATCTTTGGCTCATCTTCGAGCCCCTATGTGGGCACACGTCCAAAGAAGAAGTTAGAACAGCTGATGTTAACCTCTAAAGGCACACCCTTTAACAAGATCCTAGTCGACAAATGATAGGAAATTTTGGCCAAAAAATTGGACAAACTCGGGCATAAAAATCGTGCATAACTCTTCACTCTTGCCATATTGCCTTTGCTCAAATGGACACTATCACTGTATACATATAATTAGCCTAGACGGGTTTATCCCATCGTAGACTAAGAACTGGTAATTTGGATCTCAGTCTGTCACCATTCATCTTATATGAAGTGAACTCAAATACACAAGTGATAGCCTTCAGCACCCACAAAGTGCACACAGCACTATCATGAAAACGATGCCAAACTCAACACACAACCGGTAATGAAATGCACTCCTAGAGGCATAACAAACAATGAATTTGACCGTCACTTTCTACACCGGGAATGAGAATTATCGCGCCATATCCAGCAAAAAGACGGATCAAGCCACTAAAGCGCATGGATAAACAACAGCCACAGAGAACGAAGAACACGTAGAAATACCTATACTGAACTCGAACACGACGATGACCGTGAGAAGCGCCCAAACATAGTACCGGCTCAAGTCGTTGGAGTTGAAGGGCTCCTTCCAGAATATCAACAGCGAGACCAGCGTCAGAGCCAGGCCCATCTTCGCCGAGAACACGATCTTCCTCGGGTCGGACTTGCCCATGCTGTACGCCCTGGACGCGACCCGCTCCAGGCTCCTCCGCCACCCCGCCGCCGTCTCGCCGGCGCGGCGGTACGGGCAGCAGCAGCAGCAGCAGCAGGAGGCCCTCCGGCCGCCGACGGACTCGATGTGGGAGAGACCCAGCTCCGAGCAGCCCCGGTTCGAGATCAGACGCTCCCTCAGCGACCCCATCTTCCGCTGCAATTTGATCGAGGTCGGCTGCGCTTCGTTCTCGCTGCAGACAGGAACCCAAGAGGGCAGAAACGAAAAGGGTGATCAAGATTTGGCGAAAGGCACGCGAATCGAGAGAGGAGAGGCGGACATGCAATGGCCGGAGGAGTGATTTGGTGATGATGGGCGTGCGTCAGAGAGAGAAAGAGAGTTCTTCCTTTCTCCTCCTTCTGGCTTAATTATTACACGGAAGATCTCTGGTGGGGGATGCTTTTGTCGGTCCGTCGCTTGTCGATAACTGCAGCCTGCGCAAAGCGACGACGATGGTGGCCTTGTACTCGCAGTCAAGTGGCCATTTCCATGTCGACGCTGGACCGAGCACGATTCTGCACCACAACTAAAATCTATCAAACGAATGGGTAGGGTTTGGGGTGGGATCATAAATCATTCGGCCTAAATTCGACTCCCTGACCCATTTATGATCATTCATTCATAATGTAAAATTCGGGTCGAGTTTAGGCCGGATCATAAACTTAAATTGATCCATTGATCCGTTTATGACTATTTATTCGTAATGTAAATTTCTCAATCCATACACAACTCATAACCGACCCGAGCCTTATTGCTAAGAAAAAATTTTATATTTAACTTTATTTAAGAAAACTTGTTTCAAACAATCATATTACTAAAACATCTCCATGCCGTACAAATCTAGTAGACAATTAATATAATTTTTTTTTAAATTAAGGTTCCGTTTATTTCGCTAGAATTGTGACATTTTCTAGAAAATGTTTCCAATGAAGTCTGTAGTGCGAGGAAGAAAGAGAAACAGACGAGGTTTGCGTTTTTGGGTGGCTACCCATGGGAAAATTGTCCAAAAAGTCCTAAACATATTGCACTTTTGTCAATTCAAACTTAAACCTTTCAATTTTACCAATTGAGCCCTAAATCTTTTCATTTCAAGTCAATTGAGTATATCCGGTCAATTTTGGCCGAAAATCGCTAACATTGACACCGAGCTGCCACGTGGGTGTTGACGTGGCATTTTTAAATAATATTTTAATTTTTTTATGGTTTTTTCTTTTGTTTTTTCCTTTTCTCTGTTTTTTTTGGGGAGGCTCTGTTTTTTTTTTTGGGGGCGTTTTGGAGTTAGGGCCGGCGAAAGCGAGGGCTGACGAGGGTCGCCAGCCAAAGGAAGGGCCAAGGGCCCTTGTCGGTTAAAATATTATTTAAAAATGTCCACATCAATGCCACGTGGCCGACCGGTGTCCACGTTAGCGATTTCCGATCAAAAGTAACCTGATGGACTCAATTGGTAAAAAGGGAAAAGGTTTAACACTCAATTGGTAAAATTGAAAGTTTTAGGATTGAATTAACAAAAGTACAATAGGTTTAGAATTTTTTGGACAATTTTTCCTTGCTACCCCTCATTTTTGTCCGCAAAACGCAACTAGGCAAAAGGAAAACGGGTCGTCGTTTTTATGTTCTGGACCAAATTCCAAGTTTTGTGGCCGGTAAAGAGCCCAACAGGCCTAGCTCTCTCTCTCTCTCTCTCTCTCTTGTTTCGTTGGCTAATATGGATTCAGCAAACAAATTACATGTAACTTTGCCCGCTCATGTTCTCTAATTCTTCACTCCTCTGTGTAATTGCGCGATAGTTTCGATCGTTTACGATCTTTCTGAGAAAAGCAGTATGCCATGAATCGTGTAGACCGGTTCTTCAATCAACGATTCGACATATGGATATATTGAACACGCATCATACTAAGCCCTATACAAGTCAGAAGAACAGATACGGTGACTTTGCTCTCTCGAATCATATTGTTACATGCCTAACATCTGCTTTTGGTTCGGTACAGGACCCCATTTAGGAACCGAGATTCGCACATCTTCGCCGCAGTCTTCTTCTTCATTTTCCTGGCCGGGGCGGAGTTCTTGAATGTCCAGTATCTCGACTCGGCGGTTCGTCTTCTTCCTCAAGGTTATGGCCACGTCCTGCGGGACAAATTTGCCGCATACGATTACTCTGCACTGCTTCTCCTCTATCAAGTGGGTGTCCAGTTCTGCGATCAAGATTGACGTTTAAAACAAGTAAGCATTTCTGATCTTGTGCAGTTCCTCTCGAGAAGCTTCAGACAAAACGGATTTACCTCGGATTTGAAGAAGGGCTCTTTGAACTTTTCGGAAACAGCCATTGCAGTCGATGTTGATCCTAAGCACCATGCAACAGAACTAGCAGAAAAGTTTTCTTTTAGCATGTAAAAGTTGAATACTGGTCTTTGAATGCTTTGATCAAAACACTGGAGCAAAATAACCCAGAAAAAAAAGAAGGGAAATGTATTCACCTTTCCATTCATGAAACCAGAGAGATGAAAGATCAAGTGCTCGGGATCAGATTAGCGCGGCCGAGATGGCAACTTAAAAAGGGGTTGTACAGAAAACGAAAGATCACAGACATTGGAAATCTTTGACTTTGGAGTCTAGAGGAATCTGATTCTGATGTCTCGTGTCAAAGAGCGAGAGAGATGAGGCAAAGGCAAACGTGCACAGGCTAGCCCTCGCTCATTATTCTTGACTTCTTTGCATTGTTTTATGCATGGCAGTGGAATAGAGCATATCCCTCTTTCTTGTAATCCAGAGGTACCCGTGGAAAACTAAACGCAAAGGCAGGAGGCATCTCTCTGATTCGTCTCAGCTTCAGATGCAAAACTGACCCTGAGAAGAGTATCGCGGAACTTGCTTTATTAGATTGGTTCGGTGGTGAAACCGACGCTAGATTAACCTTTTGTTTCCTTGTTGACTTTCATGCACGGTGTAAATTCCTTTCTCTTTTCGATTTTCCATCCTTTTTCATATAGAGGCCTATAGCTGATTGCAAATCTCGTATTGAATTATAAGAAGAGTCATCAATTCGTCGTTACGGAAAGGTGCATGGATGTCCTGAAGACCTTGCGCGAATTTTCAGCTCTAACTAGTCACCCTTCACCAACGGAACAATTTTTCAATCTGTGCATCATGAATTGCGTCTTTCCCTTTATGTATACCAAGGCCTTTGTCCAATTCATGCAATCCCGAGTGACGCAACTTGAAGCGTCGCAATCTCGAGACGGGTTATGACAAGATATCAGGAATTTTTCAGCTCAAGCTGGTCACACTTAACTCATTCGAGGAACAAATCCTTCCATATGATTGACTGGCCATAAGATGATGACAGAACGGAACTGAAGTTCATTTCCATAATGTGACTGTACAGCCCAGAAATGGAGCAGGAAAAGTGTGTGTGGACTGTGGAATAACATCAAACATGCATGAAGATACACTCACACTCATACCATGCGCTTGATCTATTAAGCCTCCTCTGTCACAATCCAATTCACCTACACGATACAAAGAATTCAGAACACAAACAATGACTTCTCAGCACTCCCTTCCACCCATTGTCCCCTTCAACCTCCTCCTCCACATCTCCTTCTTGCCCCTTCTCCTCGTCTGGATCCCCGCCGCCCTCTCGCAAGACCCCGCCTCCTCAAGCCCTGCCATCGCCTCGTGCCAGCCTCGGCTCCTGTCGCTGGCCCCCTGCGCTCCGTTCGTGCAGGGCACGGCCCGGTCGCCGTCCGAGCCGTGCTGCGACAACCTCAGCCAGATCTACAGCCAGCAGCCACACTGCCTCTGCCTTGTGCTCAACGACACATCCCTAGTTCCTCTGCCTATTAATGGCACGCTGGTCCTTGAACTTCCCCAGCTCTGCAGCCTCCAGGCTGATGTCTACTCTTGTTCAGGTACAATGAAACAATCAAAGGAACAAAAAAAATATGGGATTCAACCCTGCAAAACCTAACATTTTCGCAAAAGTTCCGCCTTCGGATGAACCTTTTCTACACGATCAATTAGAACTCCCTAAAACTTTCAAGGATCGACGAGGGATCTCTCCCTCACGAACGCGGTTTCTTTTATTTCGTGGGGCCGATGTAAACCTTAGTCTACTCGATGATTTGTTGGTAGTTGCACCTATGTATGTTGTCCAAATAATATGTTCAATGTTGTCACATGGTTTTGTCTTTTGGGGGCCTAGGAGTGCCTGCATCTCCAAGCGCACCAGGTCCACAGGTCTCTGCAGGAGCGACGAGGACCAACAACTCCACGGTTGCTGGTATGCCACCAACATATGAACAAACACAAACTTGTTCAATCTTTTCTCCCTCTTTTTCTGCTTCTTCTTTTATTATACTCATTGAGTTCTAACTCTCATGCAAATTTCTCTATTTTCCAATGTCCCTTTCGCGTCGGAAAATCCCAGCTTCGCCGGTCGTGGAGGTGGCGCCGAGACCGAGCATCATCAGATCCGGCCCCGGCCTGAGCAGCGGCACAAAGTCGGACCGGGAAGGGCAGTCCATGTTTCTAGCAGCGGCTGCGGTCCCGTTGTTGTTAGCACGAGTGTTTTATTGAGGATTTGATCTTAATAAAGTTTAGGCATTAGGCATGCTTACGAAGGATTTAGGCTATCCGGATGATACGTGGAGTGCTATTACCGATTATTGTTCCTCGCTTATACGAGATCATTCGCGTTATATTCCGATTTTCTCTCTATATAACATAGACAAAAGATTTATTGCCAACATGTATTGACGAAGGACCTCTCAGTCTCAGTCATAATCGTTTGATTGCGGTTTAGTCAATCACTAAACGATTATTGGTCAACGGTCTTCCTCAGCGAACATTGGGCCGAGGGCCCAATTCAAAGTCCACAGGCCCACTGATACCGGCCCACTCGTTTGGGTCCGACACTTAATTTTTCTCGCCTTCTTTTATATGGATTCAAGAAACTCAACCTTAATTCCAAAAAAGAAAGAGCCTTCCAAAAAAAGTCAATCTTTTTTCGTAAAATTATTTGGAAAAATCAGGAATTTCTATTTTCAAAACTATTTCTAGAGAAATAGGGGGCGCGGAATTCGAGAGGCGGGGGTCTAGGTCAAAAATATCATTTAAGGTTAGATTCAAGAGTCGATTCAAAGTCGACGAAAGGTCTACCAACCTTCCAACAAAAAGACAAAAATCGGGTCGGGTCGGGTCGGGTCAGGTCAAAAGTGGGTATTCAAAAGAAGGTCTAACCTACCGATTTTCTTAATTGGACCGACGAATTTACTATTTTCAACTTGACTTTGGAAACTCAAGACCAAGTCACATTTCTTTAATCAAAGGAGGCTGTGGCGAGTGCCTTCTTCGCGACATCAAGGCAATTACGTCAAGGAATTGCGAAATTATAATTTAATTTTTCTTTACTTGTAAGGCAACGTGCGTAGAAAGTGCCTTTTGCTTATAATAAACATAAAATTGCAAAATTCTGACCAACTCGATTTTGTCCGATATGTTGGTGCGCCGATGCTAAAGTTCTAATGCAACAAAATGATCCGTCCATTTTGTCCGGCGATGAATCGAAAAAGAAATCTCTATTGATGCTACCTCCTCTTTTTTCGTGAAGAGAACGAATCATTTCATCGAGGGATCGGGGACCAAAAATTTGGATCCGGATCTCCCACGGGAATGATTTGGAAGATCCAAAACAGAATATAATAGTATTTGCCGGAAACGACATAATGGAGATAATCGACCATATAGATGGATCCGATATTGTTTTCTAATGATATCGAAACCCTTTGGGATTTCATTTCGGCAATCTATAAATCGGTGCTTGTAAACTGTTATTTGGTATCAATTATGGCCCGTTATATAAATATCGCACTCTCCGTCCCGTTATTTTATGCATCGATTTTCGTACTTTAATCTTTGATAAGACCTTGTCTATAGGTGCCCATATAGAAATGAAGTGATGATTAGGACCAAAGGACTTCTTTTTTTTCCTATGCTACATTTAAAAAGTTCTCAATTAATTACCTTGCCATGATTGTACAATACGAGGATGGATGCTTCTAAATTTAATTAGCCGTTGGATAAACGTAATAAATATATCCCGAATATTATTTGAAACTACACAACATTTTCACGATGCCACAAGGCTCACGTAGTCACGCACGTTACGACGGGAGATTGATCTCTCAAGGAATCACAAGGACACCCGTTCGTAGACCTAACTTTTTGTCAAGTCCCTCGAGACTTTTACCTATTGGTTTTACTTTTGATTTCTGACCCGACTTTGACCATGACTTTTCTTCTAAACGTTTGTTCGCGGAAAACGAATAATATCTTTGCGTAAAAATGATTAGTTATATCGCTAGAAATAATTAACCACAAAAAATATTTTCATTATCGTCAACAATTTAGACCTAAATATTATCATGGACTGTGAGAATATTATGTCCATTCGTTTTTGTAAAACGATACAAACGATCGTTTTTAGGAAAATATTTTCCAAAAAACGTATGTAATCCGCGAAACAAACAGACCTCAAGTTATAATTCCTCTATTCGCACTATTATAATCATTACTTGGACATAAAATTATACATGGAAAACTTTGATAAAATTATCTTATTTTCGCTCTAAATTCAAAATATCGAACATTCGCAAATTTTATAGGCGTTTTGGAAAGACAAAATCTCCCATCCGGCCAAAGAACTTCCCACAAATTACAGGATCTAAGCAGGTCCTTAAAAAAGCTCGATCTCGATCCTCATCTGAACTTTGGGATTATCGAAATGTAAAACTTTCAGAGGGTATTCCCTTTCGCTAGAGAAGACCAAGGTACATGAAAAATTGGGAGTGCGAGGCGCGTGAACACCGCCACGTTAAAATAGGGAACGCATACGTGGAGCCTGCCTCGTCGAATGGGAACAGGCCAAGGAGGCCCTCGTAAAGAGCAAAAACTCAATTCGAGGTTTTTCCAAGTAATGAGAGGGGAAAAAAAATACGATATCAGTGCGATTTAGTTTCTCTCACAAAGTGCGTAGTACAAGACCTAAAGAACTTCCCACGAATTGCGCGGGGTCGCGACTCGCTGGCTTCGATTTCTTGGTCGCATCTTGACCTTCGACCTTTTCTCTTGAACGGACGAACGAGATGATGACGGGTGCAATCCGACGTCACCGATCACGCCACGTCCTACGATTCGACCTGTCCCCGACACTCTACCTTAGAACAACCCTACTGCTGCTAGCATCTAGCAAGAGAAGGAAATTCGTACTTTCGCGAGGACGAAAATACCCCCCCGTGGGGCCCCCGCGGGGTTCCGGTTCCCTGCATCCGATTCGACCGAAAATTTTCCCCTCTACCTGCAGCGCGGAACCCGAGGAGACGGCGCCAGCCAATCACAAAAGAGCGAAGCAATTATCCGAAAGTAGATCTATAAGCAAAACAATAAAATGGAATAAATTGTTTTTGCCGACATCATCAGTAAACAAAAATTACAAGTTAATAATACATAATCATCAAAAACTAAGCTCATCAGTTTGTTTTCTGTTCCTAATTACAGGATATTACAGAGCTGAGCTTTTGCTTTTCATATTTCCTACGATTTAAGCGGCGGATTAAACTAATGAACAGCGGCGGAATTACGGAAAATTCCACACGGCAAAAAAAAGAAGAAGATGAAATTAAGTAAAATTAGGAAGTTAAAAAAATAAAGAAAACAAAAAAACAAACGAGGGAACCACTAGCACGATGGCGGAGCAGGACGCGCGACGCTCCCCTGCTCCCTGCTCCGGAAGTCCACGCGCGGATCCCCGCCGCTTCGGCCGCCGCCCCCCCTAATCGTCGCCGGGGCTCTCTTCCGGCGCGGCGTTCAGGTCGAAGGCCCCGCCGCCGCCGCTCGCCCTCGCGGGCGCCGCGCCGGGCGTCTCCTCCTTCACCCCCTCCTCCTCCTCCTCCTCCTCCTCGTCGGCCGCCGCGATCCCCGCGCCGCTCTCCAGGGCCGACCTCCACGCCTTGCCCCGCTCGTCCCCCTCCCCGCCGCCGCCGCCGCCTCCGGCGCCCCCGCCGCCCTCTCGAAGTACTTCACCGCGACGTGCATCCGCCGCACGATCGCGAAGAACTCCTCCACCTCCGCCTCGCTCGGCGGCGCCGTCCCCACCTCCGCCAGCGGCGGCGGCGGCGGCGGCGCCTCGAGCCCCGCCGCCGCCAGCTTCCGCTTCCTGCTCCGATCCGGATCGCCGTTCTCCCCGGCCTTCCTGATCTTGTTCTCCGCCTCCATCGCCTTCTTTCTACTCCCACCCACCCTCCCCCTTGAGCCGATTCCTGGAACCGAGGACGAGGCTTCACGAAAGAGACAGCGAGCTCCTCCGCCGCTACATATAAAACTGTCGGTCTTCGGAGTCTTACTTTAATGGAGGAAAATCATTTGTTCCGCATGGTTTGCAAAACGCATGGTCGTTTAGAGAGAGAGAGAGAGAGAGAGAGAAAGAAGAGAGAGAAGGAAAGGGGGGGAAGTTTCTGTGAAGTTCCACCATGGGCGTATGCAGCTTGCTTCGGCTGTCCGAAAGTAGTTTCTTTCTCCTCTTCGCGCGGGAAGGTCAATCTCGGCCGTTGGATGAGGGGGAATCCCCTTGGGGGTGCTGACGTCACGGATTGTTTTGCCAAAGTGACGGCATCGGCATGGCGACATCCGTTAGGTGGTGATTGACGGTGACGGGGGTGGAGCTGGCCCACGCGCGGGGGGGTGGGGGGGTGGGAGGCCACGCGCGTCAGCCTTTTGACTAGGACCGACGCCAGGAATGTCAATTCAACCCAAAGAAATATCGAGGAAAATGGCACGAACGGTCCTGAACTTTTACTTATTGTGAAATATGATTCATAAATTTTTAATTTATTCAGTATGTTTATATACTATAGCCAAACGTGCAATGTGATTGATATACGGGGTGTTTGGTTGAGCTTTGCCAAGGAGTTTTGAGCCTCCAAAGCCCTTTGGGAGAATTATTTTGTGTTTGACAAATTATTTTTGGAGCTCTTTAGCCAAATATTGGCCTTCTCAAGGCTGAAAGCTCTAGGGTGCCTTGAGCTTTCAGCATTCTCGAAATGCTAGTACCCCATTTAATGAAAATATGTTAGTTGCCTTTTTTGCCCTTAAAATTTGTCTAAAAACCCACTTTCGCCCTCGTGTGTACTGTTTATCTTCTTCTTCGTGAGGTGACCGGCGAGGGAGACCGGCGAGGCGGCCGGCGCCGGATCGGGCCGGCGGCCATCGCCCAAGGCCGGGCGACCCTCGGCGAGGGTCGCGGGACCCAAGCGGCCGCTGAGTCGCGCGACCCAGGCGGCGGCCGCGCCGGGTCGCGCGACCTCAGGGCGGCCGTCGCTGGGTCGTGCGACCTCAGGCGGCCGCTTGGGTCCCGCGACCCTCGCCGAGGGTCGCCCGTCCTCGGGCGACGGCCGCCGACCCTAGATCTGGCCCGCCGACGGTCACCCGACCTCAGGCAACGGCCGCCGGCGCCACATCTGGCTCACCGGCGCCGGTTCCGGCGAAGGGTAAGTTAGGTTTTTTTCTCCCAAAGTCCATTTGCAAAAAAAGTTCACCAAGCACTGTATTTTGGCCAAAGTAGCTTTACAAAATATTTTTACCAAACACCATTTGCATTTTCCCAATGGGCTTTCACCCAAAGGTATTTGCATTCCCTCAAGTAGCATT